TACTAGATGTAGTAGTTTTTGTTGTGAGGTGTATTCATTTTTGCATCAACTCATTTGAGTAAAACTGAAGATTTTGTAATCTAAGTTATATTATTAACCTTACTTTCATGTAATGAGCTAAATACATTTTCTATAAAACTCAGTTCTGTCAAAATTTTGGAAATTGTTCTTGTGTTCATTGAGATGTTGATTAAAATCTCACTTTTCAAAAGGGGTGTAATCATTTATGCTGAGCACTGTATATGTATAAAATAATGATATCTATGCCTTTAAGAACAGGAACACCAACATATCCTGTCTTGTGGATGACCCCTTTTTTCTCAATAATTCATAGAATGACAGATCTATAATTATAAGGTAATTTTGTATGTATTAGTACATAAGGAGGACCAGATGGAAGTGACTATATGCTCATCTATATAAAATGGAAAAAAAACACAAAACAAGGATAAGGGCAACAAACCTCCATAGCTGGAGCCCTAAATCCATTAAAGATATGACCAAACCTCCAGAGGGCAACCACCTCCCACCAATTGATGTGAGCCCATAGCAATAGGAGGGAAAAAAAGAGGAACTAGACAAAGACAAGAAGATGCATGATTACAAACCTCAGCTGAATAGAAATACATCTAGTCCCCCATAAAGTAGCCACGCACTCAAGAGCAGGCTTTCAGGCTTATTACCTAGGTAATAGTTCAAGTAGTCTCTAATCCAAGATGACTAATAAAGGAATGGTATAAGCACACACAACAGCCACTGACCAAATCCTCAGTCCAGATGGGGATATTGCAGTGTTGTCCACCACTGCTGCCCATCTCCCCCTAAAGGTAACATGGAAAAAACACCAATAATTTATTTCAATTATTTGAGATACAAAGTAGTCATAATGGATCCATACATTCACAATTGTAATACAGTAATTGAGATATTGTGAATAATATCACAAGTGTGTTCAAAAATTTACATTTTAAACATTCAATGTATTCACATGACCAATATTACATGACATATGTAGGTATGCAGTATAGTATCCTTTCATATCTTTGTTCATATTTAGATCATGTCATATATCAACAAACATGCATAGTAGGTTTGGAAAAAAATTATTTGCTTTTCAGTAAAGGAATTACTGATTTGTGCCACAGCAATAAGTGCATAAATCCATTCTGGTTCAATTATTGTATTGGGAATTTCAAGTATAGAAATCATAACAGCTGTTAAACCCACACAGTCAATGACATTGAATGACAACTAGCTGTAAAAAAAGAAAAAATCAGAACAATGAATAAGGGGCCAGATCCATACCAAAGGTTATAAACAGACAGTATAAAGGAAGCATTTATGGAAACAAATAGATACAATGTTTCAACCGCTGTATGGAGTGAATGTCAGAGAACTGTCAGAAATAGCCTATTTCTGACAGTTCTCTGACATTCACTCCATACAGCGGTTGAAACATTGTATCTATTTGTTTCCATTTATGGAAACAAATAGATACAATGTTTCAACCGCTGTATGGAGTGAATGTCAGAGAACTGTCAGAAATAGCGGAGCTCTGCAGATACACTTAGCGGAGCTATGCAGATAGGATACAGCGGTTGAAACATTGTATCGATTTGTTTCCATTTATGGAAACAAATAGATACAATGTTTCAACCGCTGTATGGAGTGAATGTCAGAGAACTGTCAGAAATAGCGGAGCTCTGCAGATACACTTAGCGGAGCTCTGCAGATACACTTCTTCTTCTTCATCCTCATCCTCATCCTCAGAAGAAGAAGAGGATGAGGATGAAGAAGAAGAAGAAGAAGAAGTAGGATGAAAATAAGAAGAATTCCAAGCCGGCAAAAAGTGTATCTGCAGAGCTCCGCTAAGTTTATCTGCAGAGCTCCGCTATTTCTGACAGTTCTCTGACATTCACTCCATACAGCGGTTGAAACATTGTATCTATTTGTTTCCATAAATGGAAGCAAATAGATACAATGTTTCAACCGCTGTATGGAGTGAATGTCAGAGAAACTGTCAGAAATAGGCTATTTCTGACAGTTCTCTGACATTCACTCCATACAGCGGTCAAAGAACTGTCAGAAATAGTGGAGCTCTGCAGATACACTTAGCGGAGCTCTGCAGATACACTTTTTGCCGGCTTGGAATTCTTCTTATTTTTCATCCTACTTCTTCTTCTTCTTCTTCTTCATCGTCATCCTCATCCTCAGAAGAAGAAGAAGAAGAGGATGAGGATGAAGAAGAAGAAAGTAGGATGAAAATAAGAAGAATTCCAAGCCGGCAAAAAGTGTATCTGCAGAGCTCCGCTAAGTGTATCTGCAGAGCTCCGCTAAGAATAGCGGAGCTTGCAGATACACTTTTTGCCGGCTTGGAATTCTCCTTCTTCTCATCCTTCTTCTTCTTCTCATCCTTCTTCTTCTTCTCATCCTTCTCCTTCTTTCATCCTTCTTCTTCTTCTTCTCATCCTTCTTCTTCTCATCTCATCTTCTCCTTCTTCTCATCCTTCTTCTTCTTCTAATCCTTCTTCTTCTTCTCATCCTTCTTCTTCTTCTCATCCTTCTCCTTCTTCTCATCCTTCTTCTTCTTCTCATCCTTCTTCTTCTTCTCATCCTTCTCCTTCTTCTCATCCTTCTTCTTCTTATCATCCTTCTTCTTCTTCTCATCCTTCTTCTTCTTCTCATCCTTCTCCTTCTTCTCATCCTTCTTCTTCTTCTCATCCTTCTTCTTCTCATCCTTCTCCTTCTTCTCATCCTTCTTCTCATCCTTCTCCTTCTTCTCATCCTTCTTCTCATCCTTCTCCTTCTTTCTCATCCTTCTCCTTCTTCTCATCCTTCTCCTTCTCCTTCTTCTCATCCTTCTCCTTCTCCTTCTCTCTCATCCTTCTTCTTCTCCTTCTTCTCATCCTTCTCCTTCTCCTTCTTCTCATCCTTCTCCTTCTTCTCATCCTCCTTCTCCTTCTCCTTCTTCTCAATCCTTCTCCTTCTTCTCATCCTTCTCCTTCTTCTCATCCTTCTCCTTCTTCTCATCCTTCTCCTTCTCCTTCTCTTCCTCATCTCCAAGGGCATTTAAATTAAAGGTACAGTGTTCTGCACTAATATAAAGGCTCTCTGAAGCCTAGAAACCCTTTTTATAAGTTAAATTTGTAGCGAATAAATTCGCATCGAATCGAATTTCTTCCTCAAATTCGGCGAATCAGCCGAATCGAATTTTTGAATAATAATCGCTCATCTCTATTTGTAATATATGCAAAAAATATAATCACTTTTGGTAATTGTGAGCAAAAGTAACAACATTCACCATAAAGCAACAATAACTGTTAACAGGCCTGCTTTTATAAGTAAACCCACTGCCTCCAATCTGAGGGGACTGCTGAATCCCCAGTGAGTAGAAAACAACTATCAAGAAACAGGTAAGCTCACTGTGGGTCCTCAGAAGTAGATGACAAGGATTAGATGTGAAGGAAAGAGAATTCTCATTTGAAATTGTGAGCACTGTCCTGTAAAAAACACTACAGTGCCTTCTGCACGCTCGTTGGGGCCAGTTGGTATGAAGTTGAGTTGAGGTGTGCCATATAGTTCCTTGAGATGGTAGCGAATTAAAGCAGGGTCCTCTTTAAAGCACTAAAACATGGGGCCGGGCCGACTTGAAGCAATGAATAGCAACAATCAGCTGCCGCTACCTGCTGAACCTGGCCCATGTGACCCCCGTCCATTCTCCGCTTTGCTCCCCCTGTACCTACCTGCCCGACTGATATTGACCCGGCCTGCCTGACGACGCTTGCATTGTATTGTACTGTTATCTGTGGGTGGTTGGTTGGTTTGTTTGCACTAGTTATGTTTTAGTATTGCACTGCGTTTATGTTTGTATGGTTAGTGTTATATAAATTACATTGTTTAAACATATCTGAAGTCTGCGTTTCCCTGCGTCAGTCACACACACCTCTGGTCATACCCGGGAGCCCTGACATTACACCAAGGGCAATCCTGACCAGAAGTGACTGCACAGGGAAGCCATCTTGGCTTGTTGATGGGAAGGATGGATCTGGATGAGGTTGCGTATTTATGTCTGCTAGTGTTTGATGACAGGGAAGTATGCTTATCAAAAATCCTGAAGGAGTATACCCGGGATTGAACTGCTAGAATGTATACGGCCTCGCTCATGTTCTAGTAGATCAGGGCACAGAGTTCTCTGAGGTGCAAAAGCCTTTGATTGGTGAGGTTTGTTGCTGAGTTGGTTTCATCTGGTTCACCGAATGCAGGGATGGATTTTTGCCACCATTTAGTGCAGACCAGGGTAGAGTCCCTGGTGTGGTTATTACAGGATGATGTTGGTTTTACTTTCTGGAGCGTTTTATTCCACATGTTCACCACAGACACTAAGGAGATTGAATAAACGCAGTGCAGTCTTGGTCAGACAGGCAATTGTGTAAGCTCAGCTTTGTTCAACCATACTGGCAGACATGGACAGACTTGTTGCCACCAGCCTCAGTCAGCTTACAAAACCCAGTCCTGCTTTCTAATCTATTTCCTCAAAAACTCTATTCCTGCATTCCCCAACAGCTCCTCCTGCCCATGCTATCTACCGCATGTCAGTACCTGTTCCCACTTCGTGCACCGTATCCTGCCTTTAACCTGTAAAAAAGCCCTCTGTAGCAAACTGCTCCCTATCTCTGTTCCATCCTCCAGTTCTTCTCTGTCTCCAGCTGCTCCATTCGTTTGCAGACATGCGTTTACTTGCAGTGCTCCAGTAGGTAAAACCCAGAAAAAAGCGGAAAATTCTTCCAACCAATCCATCCTGCCAGTATCCAAAAACGCGTAAACTGTGCCTTCCGTGGTTCAGCCTGAAGCCTCGACTCAGCCTGAATCCTATACTCAGCCTGATGCCTGTATCGCAGCCTGATGCCTTACTCGGCCTGATGCCTGTACGCACCCTGAGCCTCTCTTCAGATGCCTCTCTCGGCCTTCAGAAGCCTGAAGCCTCTACTCGGCCTGAAGCCTCTACCTCAGCGGACGCCGGCATTCAGCCTGATGCCTCTACCCAGCATGATGAACTGATCCAGCCTGTCGAATCCTAATTAGGCCAGTTGAATCGATGCCGCTGTTGATCCAGATGATCTGGTACCTGATCCGGGGTACCTGATCCGGTGACTCAGAGCCCGCTGTCGTACCTGGTGACTCGGATGGCCACTAGCCTTGCCAGATGACGCGGTGCCACGCTGGCGAGCCAAATGACCTGATGCCTGGTGACCCGCAGTGCCCGCTGTCATTACCTGGTGACCCAGATGGCCCGCTGTCGAGCCAGACGATCCAATGGCGACTGGTGACACCGGTGCCCACTGCCTTGCCAGATGACGCGGTGCCCGCTGGCAAGCCAAATGACCTGATGCCTGGGTTGACCCAGTGCCCGCTGTCATACCTGGTGACCGAATGCCCGCTGTCGAGCCAGACGATCAATGCCTGGTGAACCCGGTGCACACTGCCTTGCCAGATAAATGCGGTGCCGCTGGCAAGCCAAAAATGACCTGATGCCTGTGTGGACCCAGTGCCCGCTGTCATACCTGGTGACCCGATGCCCCCGCTGTCGAGCCAGACAATCCGGTACCTGATGACCCAGGTGCCCACTGTGTGCCTTGTTGACTCGGAGCCACTGCCTTGCCAGATGACGCGGTGCCCGCTGTCGAGCCAAATGACCTGATGCCTGGTGAACCCGATGCCGCTCGTCCAGCCAGACGATTCAATGTCTGCCCCAGTGCCCGAGGTCATGCCAGTTGGGACCTTGGAGCCCACTGCCTTGCAAATGACGCGGTGCTCGCGGGGCTGTCGAGCCAAATGACTTGATGCCTGGTGACCGATGCCTGCTGTCCAGTCAGACGATCCAATGTCTGAACCAGTGCCCGCGGTCATACCAGTTGACTCGGAGCCCACTGCCTTGCCAGATGACGCGGTGCCCGCTGTCGAGCCAAATGGGACCTGATGCTGGTGACCCGATGCCACGACTGTCCAAGCCAGACGATCCAATGTCTGAACCCTAGTGCCAGCGGTTCATGTGCCAGTTGTACTCGGAGCCCACTGTCGTGCCTGGTGACTCGGTGCCCGCCGCTTCGCCTGGGGGCCCGAGACCTGTCGCTCCGCATGGGGGTCCGGCGCCCGCCGCTCGCCTGGGGGTCCGGGCGCCCGCCGCCCCGCCTGGGGGCCTGAGACCTGTCGCTCTCGCCTGAGGGCACCGTGACCTGTCGCTCACCTGGGGGTCCGGCGCCCGCCCTGCTCCGCTGAGGGCCCGAGACCTGTCGTTCGCCCCTGGGGGTTCTGGCGCCCGCCGCTCCGCCTGGGGGCCCGAGTGACCTGTCGCTCCGCCTGGGGGGTCCCAAGACCTGTCGCTCCGCCTGGGGGCCGGTGCCCGCCGCACCGCCTGAGGGCCCGAGACCTGTCGCTCCACCTGGGCACTGTAGGTTCCGGCGCCCGCTGCTCCGCCTGGGGCCCGAGACCTGTCGCTCCATTGGGGGTCCGGCGCCCGCCGCTCCGCCTGAGGGCCCGAAACCTGTCGTTCCGCTGGGGTGCCCGAGACCTGTAGGTCCGCCTGGGGGCCCGAGCCCGGGGTGGGGACCTGTCAATCCGCCTGGGGGGCCGAGGACCTGTCGCTCGCCTGGGGGGCCTGGGCCCGCTCGACTCCGCCTTGAGGTGCCACGAGAGCCTGTCGCTCACCTGGGGGTTGGCGCCCGCCGCTCCGCCTGAGGGCCCGAGACCTATCGCTCCATCTGGGGGCCGGCCGAGACCTGTCGCTAATGCCTGGGGGCCCGAGGACCTGTCGCATCTCCGCCTGGGGGCTCCGAGAACATGTCGCTCCACACCTGGGGGTCGGCGCCCCGCGTCCGCTCCGCCTGAGGGCCAGGCCGAGAACTGTCGCTCCATATGGGGGTCCGGCGCCCGCCGCTCAGCTGGGGGGCCCGATGCACTGTTGCCCCGCCTGGGGGCCCGATGCTGTTGCCCCGCCTGGGGGCCGATGCCTGTCGCCCCTCCTGGGGGCCGGCGCCGCCGCTCCGCGATGGGGGCCCGATGCCTGTCGCTCTCCGCCTGGGGGCCCGAACGCTGGTCGGCCCGCCTGGGGACCCCGATGCCGGTCGCCCCGGGGGCCGGGGGCACGATGCCTGTTGCCACGCCGGGGGAGGGGGGGGGGGCCTCGGTGCCTGTGCTCTGACCGGGGGGCCTCCGGGGTGCCTGGCTGCTCGCCGGGGGGCCCCGCTGCCTGCTGCCGCACCCGGGGGGGCCCGGTGCTGCATGCCCGCCTGGGGCCCGGTGGCTTGTGCCTGCCCCGCCTGGGGAGGGCCCGGTGCCTGCTGCTCCAGCATGGTGGCCCGCTGCCTGCTGCTTCGCCTGTGTAATCCAATGTGACCTCTGCTCGGAGTCACTGCCCGATGTGCCTCTGCCGAAGTCCTGCCCGATGTGCCTCTGCCCGGAGTCCTGCCGATGTGCCTCTGCCGGAGCGGAGTCAGCCCGATGTGCACTCTGCCCGGAGTTCAGCCCGATGTGCCTCTGCCGGAGTCCAGCCCAGTGTGCCTTCTGCCTCGGGGGAGTCCAGCCGACTGTGCCTCTGCCCGGTGTGCCTCTGCCGGGAGTCCAGCCCGATGTGCCTCTGCCCGGAGTCCAGCCCGATGTGCTTGCCGGAGTCCAGCCCGATGTGCCTCATGCCCGTTAGTAGTCCTTACCGATGTGCATCTTGCCCGGTGTGCCACTGCCGAGAGTAATGCCTGGTGTGCAGTCTTTGATTATCCCGCCAGTTACTAGGACCCGGGCGGTGGAACATTTTGCCCCAGCTAGGACTATGTTTGGAGGCGTACTTGAGGCCGATCCTTGAGGAGTTAGTGAGTGCATGGGTGTCAGGAATGGACTGGCCAGCAATAGTGGGACTCAGCTGCTTTATGAGCTGCAAGTACCAGGGCTGGGCCAGCGGGTGCTCCAGCAATCAGAGACTCAACTTGACAGCCAGTCAAAAACACCTGGAAAACTAATTATAATGGTGTATTTATAGGGACATTAGACCTGCAGACTCTGCCTTGGTGTTGTGTTTCTCTTGGGCCATGTATCCTGTTCCTGCTCTCTGTTTCCTGTTGAATTCTCTGCTGACCTGCTCTGATCCTGGCTTGTAGACCATTCTTCCTCTGCCTGACCCTCTGTACCACGCTGCCCGCTACCTGCTGAACCTGGCCTGTGACCCCGACCATTCTCGCTTGCTCCCCCTGTACCTACCTGCCGACTGATATTGACCGGCCCTGCCCTGACGACGCTTGCATTGTATGTACTGTTGATTGTGGGTGTGGTTGGTTGGTTTGTTTGTTTGCACTGTGTTATGTTTTAGTATTGCACTGCGTTTATGTTTGTATGGTTAGTGTTAATAATTACATTGTTTATAACATATCTGAAGTCTGCGTTTCCTGCGTCAGTCACACACCTCTGGTCATACCTGGGTAGCCCATGACAATGGGTCTCTCTCACCAATCAAAGTAATCTGTCAGATCATAGCAGTCTTTTTTATCTCTGCAAAACAGGGTCTCAGTCCATGGACTACTGCCAGCTCAGTCTCAGCCTCCTGTCTAGTCTCCTATCTGTCAGATTGGCTGTGGGCGTCAGCGTTTGGAGGGGCTGGGTGCGTCAGATAGGCTCTTTCCGCTCTCCTCTCTCTCCAAACCTGGCTCTTGCTGCCCAGTCCAGGCACCTCAGCCGGTCAGCACAATATCCTTCTTCCATTCAGTTCTATTCCAGCACGCTCCTGGCAAAAATCTACCAGGTTATGATATTTATATGCCCTGCCCAAATGCCTACCCCTCTTTGGATATGTAAGACCTTGCCTGCCCTGCTCACCAGCTGAGTCCTCATGTGCAAGCAGACAAGGTTTTTTATTCTGTCTTGTGAGTGATCCTAAATTGCCAGACCACAGCCATATAATAAATGTCCATTTAAAAAAAAAAATATTGTAAGTAATAAACCATTTTCAATGGGATTACACTAGTGCACCAGCAAATTGTTGTACCATCCATAGGGAAAGTTATAGGTAGGGTGCTCCATGTGGTTACCTTGTTATAAACTAGGAAATTATCTGCAGACCCTTGTCTTTGCAAGGCGTGCTGACATTTTATACTAGATGTTTAAACATTTGTTAGTGACCTTTTGTATTTTGTTTAAAAGGATTCTCACCTGGGTGATGGTTGTTGAGGAAAAGTGCAACGTCCCAATGAGGCCTTGTAAAAGGACTCTGACTGCAAACAGGTATGTCTCTCTGAGGAAGAGGACTGATAGTACTTCAACTGCTGGGAGGCCCACTAGTTTGGAGACCCTTGCTCTTGATCAGGGGGTCTACATAACTATGGACCTCAATGCTGTTGAAGCACTAAAAGTCCATCATGCTTCTGCCTCTGGGGAGTCTTGACTGTGGCTAGGTCAGAGTGTTGGCAAGGCCTTCACTTGGGACTTTGCTAGTTCCTTCAACACCTGGAGAGCCATAGTTTGGAGACTCCTGCTCTTGATTGATGCAGTAGGACTGTCTTGGTCTGGCTTCCATTTTGTGTCTCTTGCACAAAAGCTGTACATGAAAAAATTAGCCAGTTTGTCGGGGTACTCCGCATAGGTCTTACACTTTGCAATCAGTTTATCCTGGTTGGTTTCTGAGCTAGTGGTCAAGGCTGTTGAGCGCTGGTATTCATCTTTCCCTGTTTACTGTGTATAACCTGACCATCACTGCGATTCTTGGAGCTTCTGGAAGCTTGCAATTGGGAAGGATGTTTTAGGAACCTATACTGTCATATCCACCTCGTGAGAGTTACCTTAAAGTTTTGATTCAAATGAGAGGACTTATTTGTTCATATCCCATAGTCGGCTTTGTATTAGCTCTTTGTGGCAATTCTTTGATTTCTGTTAGTTTTTTCAGAGTGTTTATAGGAATTAAATGCTCCCTTTTTGTCCGTTGAAGTGAATTACCCATGTTCAAAATGTCATAGCAGAAATGGTTTTGTTTCAGATTTTCTGAATAACATGCATAATTGATTTGATCTAAATGTTTAGCATTAAAGGAATTTTTTTTCATGAAATAAGTGTTTTTTATATGGTATTTGTGTGAATACTTTATGACAATAAAATTATGTTTTTGTACATTATTTTATCTAGCCTCATTTAAATGCAGTCATATCCCTTCGAAGTGGAGATAAATGGGATTATACAGAGGGAATTAGTAGGGTTATTGAGATTGTAGTGAAAATAATTGTTGACTGATCTACAGATATTTCAAATGCTAGATATATTGAGATAGTATTGCGCTGTCGTGTTTGGATGAGACAACTGCCCTGGGTTTGGTTTGAGCGTTGTTCTGTGAAATTCAAAGAAGTTGGTTGAGAACTGAATTCCATTGAAATCAATTGGAGCTGAATCTGTCAAATTAAAAATGCCCATTTCTGGACTAACTGGGCTAAGGGTGTGTAAAAAAAAATAAGGAATGGGAGCAATACTGGAACATTACCATGCAAAAAAACATTTTTTAATTCCATTTTGCCAGTTATAGTGATATGTTTTTTACTTGATTAAACTGAAACATTAAAATTTACCAATCCCTTTAAATATAATGCCTGGGTGGTGCCCTAACACTGTTGTGATGGGGTCACATCTCTGTGATGTACAGACAGTGCTGCAGCAGCTTTGAGATTTACAAGGAAAAGTGTTTAAAATTTCGCCAAATGACATCTCATTGCTGTCTATAAAAAACTAAATAAATAAGAACAGGGCCCCACCCCCCACCCCACCCCACACACCCCACCCCCCCCCCCCCCCCCCCCCCCCCCCACCCCCCCCCCCCTGCATACTATTGTCGCCGTAGTGTGTTACCAATTGTTTTCTTGGTGGACTGTAGTCCAGCTGCCTGGAGATCATTGACAAGATCCCATGTGTAGTTCTAGGATGATTCCTCATTGTTCTCATATTCATTGACACTCCACGAGGTGAGATCTTGCATGGTGCACCAGACCTAGGGAGAATGACATGTTGCTTTGTGTTTCTTCCATTTGTGAATGATTGCACCAACTGTTGCCACCTTCTCACTAAGCTGCTTGGCGATAGTTTGGTAGCCCAGTCCAGCCTTGTGTAGGTCTACAATCTTGTCCCTGACATCCTTGGACAGCTCTTTGGTCTTTGCCATGGTGGAGAGTTTGGAATCTGATTGATTGCTCCTGTGGACAGGTGTCTTTTATACAGGTAACAAAATGAGATTAGCAGCACTCCCTTTAAGCGACTGCTTCTAATCTCAGCTTGTTACTGTATGAAAGACACCTGGCAGCCAGAAATCCTGCTGAATGATAGGGGAAGCTAATACTTATTACCCCTCGGATGAAACATGCAAAGTCAGTGCATCATTTGTTAGACATGATTTCTTTGAAGTTTTTGTTGCTATTTGTCTCTCAGTGTTACATACAACTACCATTTTAGCTGTTCATTTCTTGTGATGTGGGCATACATTCAAAATCCAGCAGGGGTTCAAATACTTATTTCTTCACTGTAGATAGG